CAAACTGGGGAGGAGGGTAGAGAGAATGGTGCAGCAATGAAGGAATGAAAACCCAAAATCCCTGTAAATGTTCATTAAAACTAATAAAATTTAATTAAAAAAAAATCCACCAACTGCTCTACAGGAGAAAGATGGGCTATCTCCTCCCATGCAATTCACTGCCTCTGAAAACCTGTTTGAGGATCTGCTACGAGTCGGTTCCAACGTGATGGCATATAAACAACAACTGAACAATTAAGGTCCTATGTTATTACTCCTATTATGTTACATCTACCTCTACCATCCTATTCCCTGCTTATGCCCTCACCTTACCTGGTGGTAGAGAAGGGGTTACTTTTTACTAACTTGTCAAGTTAGTTTTGTATCTTATACACCTCTGCATAGTCCTTGCTGTTTGTGTCAACATTCAATTATATCTTTCACTTCTATTAATTCCACATCATAAAACACAACCATGCCACAGGATTTCTCAAGGCTATAGTAATTTCAGGAGCAAATCACTAGGACTTTTTTCTACTGTAGAATCATTGGTTTGGTATTGAACCACCAGCCTTTTGGTTAGTTGCTAAGTATTTAATCACTGTGTCATGAGTGCCTTCATAAAGCTTCCTGGCCTTTTTAAATAATCCCTATTACATATAAAGCTGAGACCTAATGGTCACTGAATATAGACTTATGAATGAATTTTGATAGTGCTCTCAAAGATGTTAGGCTGTGCCAATGGTGTTTCATTTTCTCACAGAAACAAATTTGTGAAAGACTGGTTAAGGGTTTCGTCAACACTATGCTTGTATAAATGACTTGTATAAATGCTTGTATTTATGAGTTTACGAAGCCTATTCATATAAAGAAGTCCTGCTGAATCAATGGTTTTGTGTGCTTAGTGACTCTGGTGGACAAAGGACTTACAAATCTGCCCACATACAGATCTAGCTTGATGAGGGTCCAAGCAGGGAAGGGGTGAGAATTGCGGCATGGGCATTAGGGAAATCATAGGGTCATACAATTTGGTGGGTAGAGGGAGGTGGTGAGGAAAATCTGAAAGATCCAGTAGTGACCTAAAAAGACAGGTTAATGGTTGGTATGGGAATGATTATATGAAACACAACATGAATGAAGGACAGTGTGAAACACATTGCATACAAATTTTATATGCAAACCAATATAAAATATTTTTTTAAAAAGTTTATAGCCCAAGACAACTCATGAGGTTACTATGAATTAAAAATCAGTTTGATACATCTAATAATAACAACACTGTTCCTGTGTACCATCAAGTAGGAACCAACCCACAGGGGACCTTCCAGTGGGTTTTTAGAGGCAGTTAATGGCACGGGAAGAGAATGCTCATCCTTCTCCTGTGGAGTAGCTGGTGGATTTGAACCTCATGCCTTTGGGATTGCAGTGCAGATTCTTACCACTAGGTCATCAGTGCTCCCAACCACAACACTACCACCCATAAAAAGCCTAATTCAATATAAAAAGAATCTATTTTAACTAATACTGTGTACTGCATTAGGCACAATACACAGGCATAGAAAACACTACAGCTGTGGGGAAATGTGACTGGGAAGTTCAATAGCAAGTGTCAGAATAGGACCATGGTTAGCTGTGTAGACCATTGGCAATGACCATGGGCAGAGGTGCTTCCAATGGGATGAAAGAGCTGGTACTCCTTCAATTCCCAAGACCTTACTTTTATCTGTATCTTCAGGAAAGCTTAGTTTTCTACCTTCAGTACCTTCATTAATTCTTGATCGTATGCTACCTCCTGAAAGGGCTAAATGTCAATCTACTCTTCTTAGTACAATGAATATGCCTTCCTTCCAAGTTCATGAGCTACTTCCTGCTGCTTTCAATATTTTCCCCATAGAATACTGCACTATTGTAACAGGAAGTTTGAATATTTTGTTCAGTTGTTTCACTTTGAGAAATGATGAACTGTGTTCCTTCCTTCTGGTTTTCTAACTCTAGATCTCTGCATGTTCCATTGTAATACTTAACACTTTGACTTCTCCAGCACCTTAAGAAATATTTTATTCCGTAGAAACGTCATCATTTTTTGGTATTCATTTTAGTTATTCCGTATTTAAAAGTAAGTCTCAGGTTTTTTTCCGACATCTATTTGGTGTATTTTCATTTTAGTCTTTTTAATGACCTTTTGCTGTCTTCATTTATAACGTCCTTGAAGTCATTCCACAACTCTTGCCTCCGGTAATTACTGTTCAATGCTTAAAATGTATTCTTGAACTGGTCTCTA